TAACCGATCGAGACACGGAGGATAGTTCGATTAGCAAGGTCGAATTTACTGCTTTTAAGCTTCAAATCTTCAGGCCGGTAAATGTTATTAATACTATTTTATAAAAATGTCTTAAAAATAATTGTCGGTCTTTGTCCATTTCATAATGTGTGAAATCTTTATTTGTTGATACAGACTATGAAGTGGTATTGGAGGGTGATTTGAAAGACTGAAGCCAGTGGCCACAAGGAACGCAAAAAAAAAAATGGTGGGGTTACCACGTTCCTCCAACATGAGCCCAATCAAGCATTTACAAGATGTGTTGGAGAGGTGTATTCGTATACAAGATCCTTCACTTCCAATATCAGGAAGCTGACACGAGCCCAACCGAGAATTTACAAGATGTGTTTAAGATAAATGAAAAAGATCGATCATTTGCTCGTTCCGGGATATCGTATATCAGTCGTGGGAGACTGAGAGTTCGTCCGGGTTATAACACAAGATAGTAGTTGAGATAAACTTGTGGGAGAAATATTCCAAGAATTATCACATGGTAGCAATCGAGAGTTAACCTCTGCCACTGCTGGTTTCATCTCTAGCCGAAGGCATCGCTGTTGATGGGAGCGCTTTGGTGTCGCTGCTGATGGCTTAGATAAGCTTGACTGCCGTGGGGCTCCGTCATAAATTCAAGCATGGTTGGATCTGCCCCCGTGAGTGAAATCGGCGTAGGCTTTATAGTAAGTTAGCGGCTCAGAAACGCCTGCTGCGAAAAACGCGTGTGCCTTTTATGATTGGCCAGAAAAGGTGTTTTATCACACTGGGATTTGGGGCTGGTATTTCGAAAGTGGGTAATTGTAGTTATATATAAGTCCACAGGTTACGACAGTCCCGACCTACGACGATTCGTGGTTACGACGCAACCTCCATTGTTTCAACTTCTGCCGTTTGCCTTGCACATACGACTCGGCGAAATAATACGTATCTATTGTTTTCATTTCATTATATGACTTATATTTATGTCCTCCATATGTTATAGAAATGTGTTATGGCGTAGATTATTACTTTACTATTGCGTTAGTATAGGGGAGTGATGTAGGTATTTATTCAAGGAAGATACTGTCACGGCGAATCGTAAGAAAGGCAGTCTGTCGTAAGACGAGGACCTTCTCTCTCTCTCTCTCTCTATCACACACACACACACACACACACACACACACACACACACACACACACACACGCACACACATATATATATATATATATGATAAAATATATGTTTAAGGTATGCTATATTTAAGGCATAAAGTGCTCAATATCAGGGATACAGCGTATGTAAATACAAAAGTGGAAATTGAAGTCAACACCCAGAGGCAACAGGCTGTTTCATGCTAAACTCAATCGTCAGGCCATGTGCGTTGTGTTTTTGCTCGACATAACACAAATTCCACACTTAAAGAAAAATACGGCTTCAAAAAAATGTACCCCCGCAACACAAAGAACTAGACGACTTCGAGAAAGACTTGACTTAGTAAGAAATATAAAATTCCACAAATAGATGCATCCAAAAAAATACTAAAAGAAGATATAACTAAAATAAACAATTCAACTAAAGTATTTAGCAGACAAAACTAGACATTTATACAAACTAAGCCCCTCTAAACACAACAAATTACTCAAGGACAACATAACTAAAACATACAAAAGACCCTACCAAAAACAACAGAACACGATATAAATAAGGAAGCTAATACAATCGCCAAAAAAATTAGACATAGACGACTGAATGAATTGCATCGCTAAGGCGTAAACATTCATTACACTAAAAGACCACAAGGATAATTTCAGAACAGACTCAACATGAAGACTCATAAACCCAATCAAAAGTGAACAAAGTAAAAGAAGTAAAACAATACTAGAAAGAATTAATTCAGAGCTAAGGAAGAAGTTAGGAGTAAATCAGTGGAAAAATATAAAAACAACTACAAATTCCGCAATATAAAAAACAAACATAAATTGCCAGTTTATACAACTAGACATAAAAGAATTCTACCCTTCTATAACAGAACTCATAGATAAGGCCATCTCCTTAGCTCAAAAACAAATAAAAATGAACACAAACGAAATAAAAATTAAACACTCCAAAAAATCACTACTATTCGACAATGAAGACGTATAAATAAAGAAAGAAGAGACTTTTGACACTACAATGGGAAGTTTTGACGATGCATGGAACTGTGAACTCATAGTTATATATTTGCTACATGAACTAAGTAAAATAATCGATAGAAATGATACCGGACTCTACATGGATGACAGTCTCATAATCTTAAGAAACTGTAACAAACAAAACACAGACAAAATTTGAAAAACAAGATAACAAGATTTTCAAAAATATGGGATTCGTCATAGACATAAAAACTAACCTTAACGAAGTAGATTTAATAGATGTTACCTTCAACCTAAGAAAAGGACATATAAACCATACAGAAAACCCAGTAATAAACCACTGTATATACAAACATCTTCCAAACACCCACCATCAATAATCAAGCAGATACCACAATCAATTAACCGCAGGCTTTCCGAGAATTCTTCTAGTGAAACCATATTCAACGAAGTTAAGAAAGACTATGAAACAGCCCTAAAAGATAGTGGATTCCCGGCAGCATTCACATACACATCACAAAAAAAAAGCAAACACGAAGAGAAACATCATATGTTTCAACCGACACTACAACAAAAACGTAAAAACAAACGTAGGAAAAATAATCAAACACTTCCTCGCCTCAAGAACTTTCCACAAGATATTCAACAAAAACAGTAAAAATCACCTACAGTGGCACTGAGAAAAAGACACAAATAATTAAAAAAAAGCACAACAGGAAAACAATCAACAAAACACCTGAACAAATTAAATTAAACTGACGTGTAATTGCAGAATAACAAACGAATAACTCTTAAACGGCATTGCTTGCAGAACAATGTTATATACCAGACCACTGTAAAATCAGCAGATAACGAAGAAAAAATATACATAGGAGTAACTGAAGGACCCTGAAAACAAAGAAACTAAACACCCAAAACATCCTTTACAAATAGTAAATACACGAACAGCACAATGTTTCCTAAACATATCTGGGAGATTAAAAACAAAAACCAAATCACATCCAAAATATCATGGAAAATAAGGAAAAGAACATCAGCTTACAATCCCAAAACTGTAAACTCCGCCTGGAGGAAAAAATAGCCATAATTACCTTCCGAGACCAAAACAAACTACTAAATAAAATGATCAGAAGTCGTCTCAAAATAGAGGCACGAAAATAATTTTTTACTACGTTACTTAAAAATCGAAAACTGTAAACGAATAAATGAAAATAAATAAAGTAAAATAAATAAAAAAAGAAGTAAAATAAACCAATCCAAACAAATAAATAAGTAAATAAACTAAGTAAATAATAAACAAATTTACAAACTACGCACACCAAAATAACCCTGTCCTGGGTATGACAATAAACTACATCCGCGTCCAGGGTAAGACGATAAACTACGTCCAACAGCAAGGCCTCTGATCAGGAGGCTTTGAGGAGCGTGAAAAAAAAACCTCTTAATTGCTGGTGTTCCCAGGTCCACCCCGACCTGGGGTGGTAGCACCCGTTAGGGTCCCAGCTATGGGCAAATAGTTAACCCCGAAACTGAGATAAAAAAAAACATTATGAAAGTGTAAAACTAGGTTTTAATACCAGAAATACTTTGTAAAAAATTATTACCAGAAATAAATTTTTGAAGAATAAAAACTATTACCAGCAATACGTTTTTGAAAAAAAAATATTACCAGCAATACATCTTTGAGGAAAAATATTACCAGAAATAAATTTTTGACAAAAAAGAAATATTACCAAGAAAAAAAATTGTCGGCATTAAATGACCCATTGAGGTGTTGATATGCCGTGAAACAAACCAAACCAAACCAAAATAACCGTTAGAATAATACAACAGCCTACCCATGTATCACTGACCTGTATATATAAATAGTCGAGCAAAATCACAACGCATATGGCCTGACGATTGCGTTTGGCATGAAACGGACTGTTGCCTCTGCGTGTTGACTTCAGTGTCCACTTTCTATATATATATATATATATATATATATATAGAGAGAGAGAGAGAGAGAGAGAGAAAGAGAGAGATTGCCTTGTGTCATAAATAATTTCTGTTTTTGTGAATCAATTGTAATGGCAAATGTATCTATTATCCTATGCAACTGTTCTTTAAATATACCATAACAGATGATCACTTAGGGATATGCGGGTGGTGTAGTGGATAATGGCTCAGAATTGTTAATCGCAGGTGCCGAGTTCCAATTCTCATAAGGTTTGTTATACATACGCGTGAATAACCTGACAATTGGGTCATCCATAGTAGCTGTCATCGCTTCGTCTATCAGCAGTCCATTAAACGTTGGATCAGATGAACAGGACCAATCGTTAATAATTGGTTGCATATTATTTTTTTTATGTTATAAGTAATATTTATTTCAAATCAGATTATTTAACATTAAATTTTCTAATTTTACTAAAATAACGTGTCAGAAATATATATTTATTTTTTGAAAGAATCTTAAAATAGAAAAACTTTTGTTTACAAATTTTTTAAAATTAAGAAAATGGCCGCTTTTAAGAAATCAAAATTAAATTTGACATTCCAATCTATATAATTTCTATCTGAAATACTCCAGAATATTTTATTTAATGGAAATAATAAATTTAATTATTAAACTTTCAATTAAAGCTAAAAAGAAATCTTCAAAAAAGATTTTTCATTTTTAAAATTTAATTTTAAACCTTAGGTATCGAAAATTTATGCCAAAAACCGGAGGTCCCTACCCTTGGGAAAAATATGAATCCATCTCTTCGCCAAGCTATGGGTTATTAAGACTCGTATCACCAAACCATTATTATCTCCAACTACCAAAAACATTCTTACAATCTAAAAATATTTTGGGGCTTTAAATAACCTACATGTGTGTGTGTGTGTGTCTCTCTCTCTCTCTCTCTCTCTCTCTTTATCTAATTAAGTCTGTTCATATCTATCTATGTCATTTCCTTATTTTCCTTTTTGTTCCGTGGTTTTTGGCTGCATCTGTTTTTCCTAAGAAACAAAAGCAGGGAGGGTGGTGTCAAGATGTCATAGTAGGACGGCAGGCTGATAAAAAGAAAGAGAAAAAGAAAGATAGTTGTTCAATCACTGACTCGCCTTATACACGATTGCCACCCGCAGTCAATGGGCAGAATCCTTAATCAGTTAAAGATTTCATCTTATTTTTCTTTGTGTCTCTCATCTTTTAATTTTATTCCTAAACAAACGTTGCGTGCGGTAAGAGGACACATTTTGAGGTGTTATCATAATCTTATATTTCTCCGTTTTTTGTTTTTTTTTTCGGCGGGAGGCGGGGGTGCTCACCTCTTTTCTGTTTCCTCCCCGCTGCCTCCACCAATAGATTGCAAATTTATTATCTACTGCTTTTTTTTTTCCTTCCTTCGGCTCCCTACCACAGTCACTTTCTGTCCTGTCCTGTCCTGTCCTCTCTCCGTCTCGTTGTCCAATCCGCAAATCGACCAAGAAGTTAACACTGTCCAGATTAATGCAATTCATAACAAGAAGTGTGACACGAGCCGCGTGCTGCTGCCCAACCCGGCGCCTCATTTCCCAACACGGGCTCCCCCAGTTCCCGCGCATGGACGTAACTGACCAGATCATTACCAGTGGGACATCCACGTGTCGAAAAAAAAGACAGCGTGCTGGCGATTTTTTTTTTTTTTTTAGACCAGAAGCATACGATTCTTAAAGCTTAACCCTGTCCCAGGCTTGTGAAAGCCGGAGACTGCTTTTTGCCTGCCATCTTTAATAGCATAGAGCTCTAAATAAGGGATTAAATTGTTTATTCTTTTAACTTTAAATTTTTTTTTTAAGTTTCCATTGGATCTGGAACTGATGACGTCAACAAACGTGATATTTTGAAAACTCAAAAAAAAAAAAAAAAAAAAAAAAAAAAAAACAAAGGCCTCAATGCAATCGCTTCATTTACAATGCTGAGAACTCATGCTGAATATATTTGAAACGTGTGGAGTGAAGCTTAAAGTAAGACTTTATGTCATTTTATATAATCATATAATTCTGATTGTCCCTCCTTTAGTTACTTAGCACGACCGTTACGCCCTGTCAATACCTCATAAATAATAGACTATTCCGTTTGGATCGCGTGGAAAGACGGAAAAGACATATGAGAGACGCAACTTGGTTTTAGTAAGAAAATGAAAGAAAGAAGAGGCGGTAACAATCTCGTGTGTTTAACGTCTACTTCAGTGAAATTGAAAAATTTGTCAAGTTCAAATCTTTTCATTTTATTTATAATTGTTATTGAAATATTTTGTTGAATTTGTTAAGCTTAAATATTTAACGATGCGATAGGGGAGATCCCACGAATGTTTTATTGTTGTAGAACTCGCCATGAGCTTATTCAATTATCAACGAAAGAATTGAGATTCATCAGAAAATCCAAATAGGAAAACCGTGTAATTTTCACGGGTCTTTCTTGTTAGATGTAATCTTTACTTACAAAAAATTCACACATCAGCAAAAATATACTCACGTCAGCAAATTATGAAACAAAAGGAACGTTCACTGTATTCACAATTATCTTTAGAATAATTCAACAAAATATTTTTCATGGCAGTCTATTTTTAATAACCTATCTGGACTCTCAAATCAATACCTCAATCCCAAACGGAGCAGTATCCGAACTAAACTGAAAGTTGTGCGTGGGCTAAAAAAATGCTCCTCCCCCCTGCTTGGGATTAGGGTTAGAAGCTTCAAGTCACCTGTTTAAACATCCTTCAAAACTTTGACAATAGCAATAACTGTCATAGTTTGTTAACTTATAGGGAAATGTCTGGGGAAAGAAGACTTGAAGAATTAAACACACACAGCGTCCATCGAAGGTAGAGAGCTTCAGAGTAAAAGGCACACCTTATGCCGATGTGTGTGGAAGATAACGGTTAACAGAGTTGAACTGGTTAAGAATACAGAGATCGAAGAACCATCTTTTGGGAGTCGATTCCACAAGGCAGTGGTTCGTGGGAAGAAATTGCTCGAGTGGAACTAATATTTCATCAAAGGAATACAAAAGGAATGAGGGTGGTTCGCTACAATGGGCGTGGCATGGCAGGTTTGGGCCGTGAAGCTTGGAATTGGTGGAACTAAGAAGGGTCGTTCATCCACACTTGTAAACTCCGGAACCTTTTCAATAGCTGGACAGTATACGCATCGCCAGGACTACAAACTGGTTTTGAATCCAGTGTAGTCCTGCTCCAAGACTGGTTGCTAACCACGGCTAGAGGGCTCTGTCTTGCTATTTAACCCATAGCTGGGAGGGACGAGAAAATACATTCATAACTTTCCCAAGGGTATTCGTGTAAAAGTGAATGTAGCGAACTAGGTCGGAATTCAAATGGTACGCCAATTTCGTTTTTCCGAGCCTCTCTAACAGCAACACTACTCGCACACCCAAGACATACACGCTAATACAGTTTAAGATGTTAATTAATCCCTTATACTTTTCTGTTTAATATGACTTTATTATATTTCTAGATATTAAACTATGAAAAATATTGGCTTTTCATTAAGAACGAAGAGAGAAAACTTTATAAAAACAAAAGAAAATAAAGACAAATTTTAGCTTGTGAGCAAAACTGTCCGAATTTTAAACACGGGTTAACAAACAGACAAATAGGAAACAACTTCACAGCAGAGGACTATCACCCCCACCCATATTTCAAGAGGAATAAACTAAAAAAAAGTACATAGTTTATTATGTAACAGTTAGGCTTTTGTTGTAACATTAATGTTATCAAAACATGAGAGATTATGTGTATTTCCTTTATTAATTAAAAAAAAATCAATTTCGGTGAATTTCTTGTCTTTGAGACAAAAGATATTCAATTATGTTGATTCCCAAAGAACAAATATGGCCAACATATCAAATAGCTTTTGTAAACAATTATTCTCAATACCTGCCTACTTTATGTTTTATTATCTATTGGGCGAAAACTGAATGGATTTGCAATCTTGCCCTTTCAAAGAAGAGGTTTTTTTTTAACTGAATACAAATTTCTGAAAATGTAATTTGTGTATAATACGATCCCAACAATTTTACCTTTAATTTTCGTTCAAAATTTCTCGTGTGATACAGAAAAAAATACGATATGTGCTACAAGTTTGCAAAGGAAAAGGTTACTGTTGGTCACCATTTTGTAGCGGGAAAAGTTGGGACTTGTTGCTTAAGATGATGACATTCAATGTAAACGAATACAATATTTTCAAGAGAGATGATTCAACACTTCCACAAGAATTAAATTTCAACATGTGGAGGAATTTTAAAGATTTCATTACTATAAATGTTTTGTTTTAATGCGTATACGTGATTGAGTTTCAATCGTTGGTTTTTGATTTTATTTTCTTAAACGACGAAATAAATAACCAGCCTACATTGAGAAGGCCTACTAAAGAAAACGTGTACTTCCGACAGAAATCGAACCTGTATCCCCATTCTTTTTTCTATCAGGAGGAATCACATTTTAACCAAAGTGTGCCGCTACCACTTTGACCATGGGGACCCAGCCTGACAAAGCAAGGTTTGACAAAGGAAAAATTCAAACCTTTCTGTCAAGCTGGCCTCCGTGGTCAAACTAAAAGCACTGTTTAAACAGAGGATAGGAAGATTGTGTAGCGCTAACGTTCCACACAGTTGTAATTGAGTTGCTTTGAAAATCAGCATTTGAAATCCCGGGTCTTGCGTTCGAACAACGACTTTTAGCAGTTGTACTGGCTGAAAATTTACACAACGACGTCCCCTGCCGATGGAAGTACAAACCGGACACTATTAAACAGGAATATAACAAGCCAACTAATTTTCTTAACACCTTGACTGACCAATTATCAGTTGAGGGAACTTTCAAAAAACCCCACTACCACCCCAGCTTTCATACTCGCAAATTGGGATGGTTGACCGTCGTCTTCCTCTCTCCAGATACAGAGAACACGTTTCCTACCGCGACCAATCTGTCAACTCGGAACTCGGGCCGAAGTAACGCTCATTAACGACGGCCGACAGGTGGAAGGGGCGTAACAACGTTGGTCGATACTCACACTCCCGATGGCTATGCCATCTGGGGGGTGGAGATAAAAAAAGAAAAGAAAAGGAGAATAGAAAGCGGGGTAATTATAGCGACGGAAATTAATAGTAACATTAATAGAGTGTGTTTGTTTCCCAACAATTCAAGGACTGAAGCAGATCGGACAGAACAGAGATAGATAGGTAGATAGATAGATAGAAGGAGATAATAGTAATAGATAGAAGTAGACAATGATAGACAGAAATAGACAGTGATAGATAGATACAAGTAGACAGTGATAGATAGATAGATAGATAGATAGATAGATAGATAGATAGATAGATAGATAGATAGATAGATTGAAGTAGACAGTAGTAGATAGATGTCGAGACAGAAAAATATATAGCTGTAGATATGTAAATATACAGACAACTATGGCGAGATAAACAGACATATATATATGCCTGTATATTTACATATCTACAGCTATATATTTTTCTGTCTCGGCATCTCTCTCTCTCTATATATATATATATATATATATATATATATATATATATATTGAACAATAAGAAAATAAAAAAATTAAAATCTTTAGACACACTGGGTGTAGATTAATATTCTTTCGTTTTTTTTTTATTATTATTCCATTTAGATTCCTCGACTAGTTTCGACCGATATGGCCATCATCGGGAGGAGAAATATTTCTGCTTGCTGGTAGCACTAAACTACAGAAATGAATATCTTTTGCTGGAGAAAATGAACTTTTGTCTGTAGTTTTCATTTGTTTTTTTATTTTATTTTTTTATCTTTTTAACATGAATCTTTTAACATTCCTTGTGTTGGTCAAACAGTCTCTTAAGTTGTTATTTGAGATAAGAGCTGGATAGATACATGTTACTCTCAATTCTCTGGTCAGTTTGACAGTTTTATTGGACCTGGTGAGAGGATGTGTCTCTGTTTAGTGTTTGTGTGTGTGTTATTTGGTTCTTAGGGAGTGAGTGAGTATGATATGTGTAAGCGTGTGTATTGCTGTAGGTGTGTGTTATCATTTGGCTCATTAGGGAGTGAGTGAGTATGATGTGTGTAAGTGTGTATATCCGTGTGGATGAGTGTATAAGTGTGAGGCCTCCACACCTCCGTAAGCATGTCTGTCTTGTGTGGGTGAGAAATGTGGGTAGGTTTTGATTTGTTGAGTTATATATTGTTACTATCTATATATTGTTAAATTTATGATTTAGCCCGGCTGGGTATTTTGTTTTTAGACGTTGTATCCACTTATTTTCATGGGACTCTAAAATCTTTCTAATGTTATCTGCTCTGAACTTTTCTATTCTCTCAATTATAGTGAATTTGGCATGGGTTTTGAAATCATGTTTTTCCAGGCGGAAATGTTGTTCTACAGGTAATTTTTCATGGGGAGTCGACTTAATTCGCTTACGATAATTATTAATTCTTCTGTAGTGAAAAGGGCCATTCAGATTTTCCTACATATTGTTTCTGGCATAGTGTGCATTCTAGGAGGTAAATTATGTTATGAATCCTACAGTTAGAATCGTGGTAGATTTTGAAAGTAGATTTAGTGATTGAGCTAGTGAATGAATTCGTGTGTTTAATATGGTTGCAACATAAACTTCTTTTGTTGTTACATGGTTGGGAAAATCCTGTTGTTTTTGTTCTTAGTTCATTACGGATTACCTTGTCCCCTGAAATGTGGTTACTACCTATGATTTCTTTTAGGTGCTTAGGTCTACGATATGCAAGAAGGCCGGGTTCCTTAAGCAGTTTTTTTTAGGTCTGGTTTGAGATGTAGTATTTCCCAGCGACGTTTGATTATTTGGGATACTGGAGGCAGAGTGGGGTTGAAAGTGGTTACTAGAGGAATGCGACTAGATTTATTTTTAATCTTGTACATTAGGGTGTCTTCTCTAGGTGTGGAAATTGCTTTATTTATTTGTTCCCTGATTAGGTGTTGTTTATAGCCACGTGTTGTGAATTGATGCTCCAGATTTTCAATGTGTTTATTTAATTCTTCATTGTTGGAACATATCCTTCTGAGTCTAAGTGCTTGTGAATAGGGAAGGTTCTCTTTGAGGTGTTTAGGGTGGGAAGACTTAAAGTGTAGATAGTTGTGGGTGTCGGTTATTTTAGTGTGTAGTGTCGTTTGTAGTTTTCTGTTTTCATCTATGTAAATGCGGGTGTCTAAAAATGTTACTGATGTGGATTTTTCATAGTCAAATTTAACTGAGTCGTGCACTGTGTTTAGGGTCATAAGGAATTGGGCAAGTTTGTCATCACTACCCGTGTATACAAAGAATATATCATCGATATATCTTGCATAGAATACGCAGTCGCTACCAATGATTGGATAGATATGGGTCTCCTCAAATTTTCCCATGAATATTGTAGCATATGATGGAGCTGCAATGGTGCCCATGGCACAACCTCTTATTTGAAGGCAGTGTGCTCCATTGAAGTTGAAAGTATTCAATGTAAGGACATGCTCCATGAGTTTTATAATAACTTCTGTGGGGGGGGGTCCTGTTTTCTTCTTTTAGTAAGTGCTTCCTGAAGGGCGGTTAGCCCTTCGATGTTTTTAATGTTTGAATATAGTGACCTAACGTCCATAGTCACTAGAATAGCTTTCTCTGGTACTGTTTGTATGTGATTAATTTTGTTCAGTAGATCTGTTGTGTCTCTGATGTAGGATTTTACTTCCTTAGCTAGCAATTGTATGTAATAATGGTCTACGTATTTGGAAATTTTTGTCGTGTGGCAGTTGAACGATGAAATGACCGGCCTTCCTGGGTTGCTGCTTTTGTATATTTTAGGAAGGAGATAGAAACGAGCAGGTGTAATGTTTGTGGGTGTAAGTATTGTGCACGTTTCCTTGTCGAATAGATTTTTGCGAAGCATTATGTTTAGTGAGCTAGTTAATTCTTTCTGGTATACTGGAAGGGGATCTGTAGGTAAGCTTTTATAGGTTTCTTTGTCGGCTAGGTGTTTGTTGGCCTCTTTAATGTATTCTTCGATTCCCCAGATCACTGTCGCACCCCCTTTGTCAGCCTGTGTTATGATTATGTCATCTCTATGTGTCAGCGTATCGAGGGCCGTACGTTCCTCTTCAGTAATATTGTCACGTGGCAGCTTACGTGCTATTGTTTCCTTTATGTCATTTGCTACGGCTAGTTCAAATGTCTGTATAGTAATGTCTGTGTTTTGTGGGGTGTAGGAAGTGTCCTTCTCTTTATATATATATATATATATATATCTGTCTATATTTCTGAGATGAGGTATTATGTACACTATTTACATTATTCGGACTATTGTCCTCATCTTTGTCGACATATTTATTACAACGTTTCGGCCGTTGTACTCTCCGGCCTTCTTCAAGGACACATGGCACAGTGGATAAAGGCGTTAGTTAGATCCAGTGACAGGACCAAAAAGTGTGTGAGTTCAATACCCGGTTAAGGCAGTGGAGAACTTGGAGAGGGGAATTCACAGAAGATAACTGACAACTGACTTCCATTAAACATGGCACATGGAACTAGAACAGTCTACCCCAGTGAACGAAATAAAGGGTTCAGTTCGACATTCCAACCACGTGAAGAAGGCCGGGGCGTACCACGGCCGAAACGTTGTAATAAATATGGTGACAAAGATGAGGACAATAGTCCGAATAATGTTAATAATATATATATATATATATATATATATATATATATATATATATAGATATAGAGAGAGAGAGAGAGAGAGAGAGAGAGAGAGAAACAGACGGGTGTCCATAGATAGATATAGAGAAATATGTAACTAGCTAGTTAGCTAGACAAACAGATGTAAATAGATAAATGAATAGATGGAGAGTCACACACACATATATATATATCTCCATAGATAAATAGATATATATATAATATGGCAGATAGACATATATGCGGTTGTGTTGGAAGTAATTTTCGATGGAGGAAAACAATTGTAATAAAGTTTATCGACAAAAATGAAAATTATATTTGATTCAACCTAACAGAAAAATAGATAAACGGACAGATATTTTTTTAAATCAATTCACCCCATGCAAGGCTATAATGCTACTAAAATGCAAGAGACTGCTAGGAATGAAAGAGAATGAGAAAGACTTTAGAAAGAACAGAAAACACAATCCTAAACACTAAACTACTTCTGTTCACGAAACCCGGGAGGAGTGTGAACAGGACGATAGGCGAACCTATATACTCTTATTGAAGGAAAAAATGTAATAACCCTATGCCTGTCTTCAGTCCTGACTACAAACAACCCTTTTCTTCGTTATGTTTAATGCATTTCTACAGTAAAATCATTAAGGAAGCCTTTACATTATACATGCGCTGAAAGGTTTTTAGTTGAACCAAGAAACTCTTCTAAAAATATTCTCTTTTGTAAGTAAGATTTGGGGAATACATGACGTCTACCTCGGCCGCTGCGTATTCAAGCTCGATCCCCTCGTTTGACTGTAGAGTTGATCGCTTCGGCCCGAGTCTTGTCTCGCCCTACGTTGTGATTAATTCAACGCAAGACTGGCTTGGTCCAAATGGTTGACTGGAATTGGTGACTTGGGTTGGTCTGGTCAGAATAAAGTGGATTTACATCAAAGTAGAAAAAGGAATAAATTGGGTAAAAGAAAAAGAAATATTTATATGCAATTCCTCGATACAAAGTTGATTGTACAGTCATTGATGGCCTAAGCAGGCCTATACTCTCCATGCAATAACTATCGACCCTTTCCGATTATCGTGACACATTGTGTTGCTAAAATTTTGGAACGAAACTTCTAGAACAAGGCTTTAAGTTGGAGGCTTTTTCTTCAGGGCGGCAAATCACATGAGACCAGGCGAAGCGTTGGTTCCCTGCTCTCTCTGCCATAGTCTGTCCGCGGCGTCTCTGCCGTCTCTCGGCATTCTGTCTTCATGGACCCATGTGCAAAGGCATGATGTACTCTGGGTATACCAGCGCTCTCCAAACAACCAATCAGGGCTCTCCCTGCAAATGTCCAAATGAGGGAGCCCAACCTCCTTCCTTGTAATTCCACCTGGGCCCTCTCCTCCTTGGTCACCTGACCAAACCCGTCCCACAAGGGCTAGGCGTGATCTAGCCCAATAGCCAAATTTTAATTATCGTTCAAAATTCTTTCTCATCGTGCTTTTGTGCGTGGTCGTCTTTGTATCTATCATTTTTATCTCCTCGTCAACCCTTTGGTTAACAAATGTCAAGAAGGGGACAATTCTTGATTTGGGAAATTTTTATCGCGTTTTAGCAGACGAAAAATTTGTCATTCTCCACATATATCCTTTTGGGAACCGGTCTGCTTTTAAAAGCTAATCCTTATGAATTTGACCGAACTCGCAGCCTGGTGTCCACCTTCCT